AAGAAAGAACTAGACATCATCAAAAATTATCTTCAACGGAATGGCTACCCCAAAGTGATGGTAGAACAGATTTTGGCTAAAAGACAGCAGGAGCCTCACAAGGAAGAGAAGTCGTCACAACCAGTGCTTGCACTTTCCCACGTCAGAGGTCTACATCAGAACCTGCTCTAGATCCGGATACATGATCCGTAGCAGTCTCAGGAAAACCAGGCCACCAAACGCGGACTGCGATTCCAAGAATTGCATTCACCGGATACCCTGTAAGTGCGGAAAATCCTATATTGGTGAAACTAAGAGGCCATTGAATGTTCGTATTGCCGAGCATAAGAAACACACACAGCGAGGGGAAACCAGCAAATCAGGAATAGCAGAGCATGTTTGGACTTATCAACATAACATCGAGTGGTCCCAAGCTGAGATCCTGCACAGAGAGGAACATTGGTTTAGGAGGAAATTCAAAGAAGCCACATACATTTTGTCCACCAACGTATTCAGCCAAGCTAGCGAAGAGATACGCAACATATGGAAACCTATCATCAAACGAAAAATGGCCAACTTCTGCCAAACGGCCTTCTCCCACGGAACCAGTGAAGCGGAAAATGGAAAGCGGGGATGAGTGAAAGTTTTCGAACGACCTATAAATAGTCATCTCTCGGAGGAATCAGTCCAGTCATCACCCGAAGATAATTGTGGACACCAACAATCGAAACGTCGTGAAGTAACTTGGCTTGGAATCTATTTTTATTTTTATTTTCTGTTCAGTTGTTCAATTTTCACTTGTATTTTATTTCACTATTATTTCATTATAGGTTTCTTGCTTGATAATTGTTATTTTCAGCTATTCATTGTAATTCTTCTTTTTTAATTTTTTCAGGGATTTCAAATCATTTTATATAATATCAGACAATGGAAGTCGAAAATGATAATTCAAGTAATTTTCTGTCAGGCATGCATGGAAGAGGAAATTCCACAATATGGTTAGCTTCGAACCCGACATAGTATCTTGAAAGTTGTGTTATTGGAAAGCTAGAATGAATATTGTTATTCAATAGGCTTATTAGGCTTATCTTGATATTTTTGAGGTTTTTTAGTATTTTTTTAATCAAACAAAATCAAAGGTTTCATTAAATCCTAACCTACAAATTTTCATAATTGTGGTGTAACAGTTGAACCAGTTGGAAAGATATATTATGTTTTTGGATAATACTTGTGATAAAGACATGACTGGATCAGTTCGGCACATTATCTTTGGTTGTATCCTTCAATAGAAGATTTAATGAAACACAAGTGTTTTTAGTACTTTGATTTGCATCGCTGTTTGAAAAAAAAAACTGTTTTTCGTTAACCAACTGTCCTTAGAAGCAATCCTTAAAAGTCGAAACTTGTGCGAGCTGAGCATCAACGAGGTCTTACCTTTTAACGTGTGATTCCTAACAAGCACTGCACATATCATCGCTAGATACATTCAGGCTTGTCATTTCAAATTCTCTTCCGAATTGTTTGAATAACTTTGAAAAATTTCATACAATATCTCCTTTATAATTAGTATTATTATTCCAGCAATATCGAGTTACTCCGATTTTTCATTCAGGAATACAGCTTCCTTAATCAAGTATATATCTGTCGAAAATCTGAGTTCTTTTATACGTATTCTCGTTCGTCTTTCAGTGATAAAACTTTAACGATTCTATTACAATTTTTAATTTCATTCGGCCTTTTTGTTGTGAAGGGAGATTGTATGGATTCTTCCCAATGCTCCCCACTTTTTCATTTGAACGTGCCGGAAAAATAGATTCGAAGAGGTCACAGAAGAAAAGTCTTATTATTTATTAACATTTGTTATCGGAAGATTCGATATTATATCAAGTATTTCAAATTTACAAGTTATTAGAATTCACCAAACCTTTCCTAGATTTCTCTTCTAATTTAAAATATCTTCGATTCACAGGCCAACAAAAAAAATGTTTTTGAAAACTTTGTTTACTTTAATAGCTGATTTTTATAGATTTTTGTGTGCTGAATCCATATCTGGTCTTAATTTCTTCGTATCACCTATAGTTTTTGAGAAATTGACTTTTTTATATAATTTAGATAATGTACGGTATATGGTGAAATTAATCAAACACTATGTTAAATCACTATCATGGTTTTTATTTACAGTAGGTTAGTTGAAATAATGATAATGTTGTAATGTAGGTTTCACTAGTTTCTTGTGTAGGTTTTCGTGCGATGAGTCGCTTATTGACCCTCACGGTGAAGTTACCAACAGTAGTCTCCCATCATGTTGATGTTCCAGCGGTCCTGGTAAGGTTTTTCCATCAATTTAATATCTTGGTGAAAACGCTCACCCTGCTCCTCACTAACATCCCCCAAATTTTCCGGGAAGTAATCAAGATGACTGTTCAAGAAGTGGCTCAGGCTCATCAAACATCCTAGTTCTTTAAAAAAATTTAACATCTCAGCTACAATGGTACGATACTCTGGGTCTTTTACATTTCCCAAGGATCTTGTAACAACTTGCTTGAATGATACCCATGCTCCTTTCTCATGTATGGTCATTGTGGTTTCAAAGTTTATGTCGAACATCATTTTTCGAATGTTGGGTCCTACAAAGACGCCTTGTTCAAGTTTAGCCTCTAAAAGGTTTGAAAACTTCTGACACAGATATACTTGAATTAAGGCCCATCTTTAGGCAATGCCTTTCTTGAGAAATGAAAAATGAAACAATACATTTTTCATCATACATTTTCACTATAAAGGATTTTACAAAAAGCTATTCAATAGCTTTCTCAAGCATAAACTGAGACGAGGCCTAACTTTATAGATAAGAGAATATTTCTAGGATCTACAAGGTTTTTGCGGAGAATGTTCTTCTCGCTAAGTTTTAAGGACTCCCTCACAGGCCAGTTTTTTCTGCACCAATGTAGATCCCTTGCTCTACTGTCCCATTCACCCAAGAAACATGGACTTTCAAGTCACCACATACCAACCATGAGCCGAATAGCCAATTTTATTCAACACTATTTCTAGGTTTTCATAGATCTCTTTCATATGTACAGAATGGCCAACTAGTTTTGGAAGAATCAATAAACAGCCTCCAGTCTTCTTTTTTGTATTCAACACCAAACTCTTTGATCAGACCTGGAATGTCTGAGCAGTACACTAAATCACCTTCTTGTCCAAAAAATTTCGAAAACGGATGGCGGAAATTAGGTTAGGGTGACTAATTACCTTCTTGTTTTTCGCCAGTAATATCAATACTACTAAAGTAGCACTCATCAGTGTGGTTTCTAGGTTCCCTCCATACCATAGGAACAACGTACTTAAAGGCTTTTCTAAGATCTTCAACACGAACATAACATACCTTATGCGGGTCCCAACATTCATCCTGATCACCAAGTTTAATTCCAAAATATGGGAAATAAACCTTTTTCACAAAGTCTGTAATGTTTCTTTGATGTTTTTTAATAACAAACTCACCAGAAATATAACAAAAACAGTCAGCAGAGTTCTTACAACCGCGATTACACATTTTAATGAGCACATGTACTGGAAACTAGAAAGTAAGGTTAGGTTGACAGTAAACAAAACATCAGCTGTGAACAGAACAATATAATTCCCCTTTTTCTGGACAGTAAATGTGTTTCAGCAGTGCTGCCAACTCTTCTACATCCAGCACAAATTAATTTATAATTTTATTCGTAGTATATAAAAGCTGTTAAGTTCTGTGATAAATCAAAAAATTTAAAATATTGATGTGCAAATGTGAAAAAATGGTAGGTGGAATAAGTGTCATATTTGAATTTAGTACCCTAAAAAACGGAATAATGAGGTGTTTTAAGTGAAAAAGTGTTTTTATCGTTGGCCTGTATAAAAAGAATATCACAAAAAACGATTTACTTCCGTAATTTTAAATGGAAACAATGAATAATATCAATTTCGAATCGCCTTTTCACATCATTGATATCTGTCTTACCTTGAATCTATAATGATTTTTACCCTTTAGCGTGTACAATCGTGTACAGGGTTTCCCATTTCGTAGTTTCCGTACACATAATCTTGCTGCTAGCAAAACTAGCAAAACACCTAATTCCGTATGAAAGTGTTGCAAACATCACTTCGATAACGAATGTTTACCCATCGTTTTATTGAAATAAATCTTGTGAAAATAATGGAAACTTTTAATGTATTTATTTAGTTTCAACAAGACCCGTCCCCATATTTTGGTTATTAGTGAAATCTAGTTTTCAAATATTTGCTCTCCGTTCTAAAATAACACGTATAGATATTATTGAGGTACTTTTAACATTCCGTGAATTATTTAAAAAATGAGGGAAAAGTGGACGGTGTTTGTCAAGCCATTATCTTGGCAAATAACAAAAGTTACTTGTCTGCGTAACTGTTACACAAGATTGGTCAATTTTTTCTTAATGACTCCGCCTCATCAGCAAACATCATTACGGACAATTGAGTACATTTCTGATTTATACAGATGGCAAAGCTTTCAATATTTCAAGTGTTTTTGACGGATGTATTTTTCAATGGTATTCGGATAAAAAATTCCGTTTTCACAAAAAATAAACATTTGCCATTCAAGTCTCTTAGCCATAATATTCAAGATTTTACGACTGAAGTGACGATGAGATGCGGTGATGAAGCAAAAGACGAAATGATCTACCTCGCAACGATTCATATTCATAATGGTACTGCTCGGTATAAATTTTCTTGAATTATATTGAATGATCTTGAATCTGGAGAGCTGGTATGAATGTGTCATTAATATTTAGTAATTTTACAAAAAACAAACTAACTATTTGATCTTCACAAACTTTATTATCAAAAATATCACATGTTCTGCTCTCATAGTAGGTAAGGTAAGGTTAGGTTATGTTAGGTTAGGCTTGGTTAGGTTAGGTAGATTGTATTAGGTTAAGTTAGGTTTGGTAAGATTAGGTTAGGTAGTGGCTCTAGTGGTCACCGCCAACAGTAGAGAGGAAATGATGGCCTCGGGAAACCGTAGTTTGAGTAGGATAGAAGCATGGACCGCGGAACATGGACTCGAATTAGCTCCAGAGAAAACCGAGGCTATCATTGTAAAAGGTCCCAAAAAGAGAGAAGGTATCCACTTTGTAGTCGGAAATGTGGATATTCGACCAAAAAAATATGTTAAATACCTGGGGGTGTGGTTGGATGACAGGCGTATAAGCAATGAACATATCAAGAAAATTTGCGAGAAGGCCGACAGGCAAGTAGCAGCCCTTACCAAGATCCTGCCAAATACAAGAAGGCCGGGAGCACAAAAGAGAAAAATATTATACGGCGTAGTTCAATCTGTGCTGCTGTACGCGGCACCAGTATGGGGACAGGTGATTCGAATCGATAGATACAGAAACATGCTGATATCCATGCAGAGGAAAATGCTGCTACGAGCCGTGATGGCGTATAGGACTGTTTCTGCCGAGGCGCTATGTGTAATCGCGGCTATACCGCCAATAGACCTAAAGGTGAAGGAAAGTATGAGATTATACGATTTACCAGAGGTGGATAGCAGGAAGTGGAAACAGGAACAAGAGGTAACCTTGGATCTGGTGGCAAGACAGATGGGACCAACATAGTCGAACAGCTCAGTGGACAAAGATACTTATCCCTGACCTTAGAGTTTGGATCGAATGTAGTTTCAGGACCACAGACTATTATGTAACCCAGGCTCTGGTTGGCCATGGCTCTTTTAGGACCTATACAAATAAGATTGGCAAAACTGCTGATGAGCGATGCGTGTATTGTGGAGGTAGGAACGATCCTTATCACACTCTCTTTGAATGTGATTGGTGGAATGTGGAACGCACAAACCTAGAACTGACTCTGGGAGACAATATTTCTCCAGATAACTTAATACACAGGATGATCCAAGACCGAGACATTCGGAAGAAGGGATACAGCTTTCTGCACAATATAATGAAGATGGAGGAAAGGGAGGAGAGGAACTTTCAAGAACAAGAGAGGCAAGAGTAAGGAACATACACTGAAAATTTTCTTTAAGGATAGGACAAGTATGAAAATAAGAGCTGTCGGGAATGTTTGAAGTATGTCCTAACGGATAGTTCTGAACATTCCTCGGACACAGGGGAGGTTTTTAGTGAGTAGGCTAGGATTTTTTTTTCTAGAGTCTCACACTACCAGAGAAAGGCAGAACCAGTACCCGGTGCGCATGAGCGTTTTCCTCCCCATCATTAAAAAAAAAGGTTAGGTAGGGTTAGGTTAGGTCAGGTTGGGTTAGGTAAGGTTAGGTTAGTTTAGATTTGATTTGGTTGGGTTGGGTTAGGTTATGTTAAGTTAGGTTAGGTTGAGTTGGGGTTTGGCAGTAGGTTTGTTTAAGGCTCGAATTTGGGCTAAGAATTGCGAAAAAGGCGGCACATGAAGGTTTACACCTGTACAAGAAGTCAAATATCTGCTTTCGAAAATGACTTAAAAACAGGGGTGTCTTCATTTTAAATGTGTCACAGCTTCATCAGTTAGACTGTATACCAGTCTAACTGATGAAGCTGAGTTAGGTTTGGTTAGGTTAGGTCAGGTTAGGTCAGGTTAGGTCAGGTTAGGTCAGGTTAGGTCAGGTTAGGTTAGGTAAGGTTAGGTTGCGTAAGGTTAGGTTAGGTCAGGTTGGGTTAGGTAAGGTTAGGTTGGGTAACGTTAGATTAGGTTACTTTAGGGTAGGTTACGTTATGTTAGGTTAGGGTTAGGAAGTAGGCTTTTTTCAAGGCTGTCATTTGGGCTATGTTTTACAAAAAAGCGGCCCATGAAGGTTTACACCTGACATAAAGTCGTAATTTCATGATTGAATTGAGTGGTTCGTCTTGTAATTCAATCCAGATTGGTACTGAAGAGGCAATAAAGCAAGTTTCTCATTCCGAAACGTCGATATTCTCCATTGAGGATAATAGTAGTCCATGTAAGTAATATTTTTTGTCGTAACTCTCATATGTTATATTGTGTAGCGTTTCGAGGAATGACAGATCTGATTCAATTCCATAACGAAAGTTTCGAGTACAAACTGAATAAAAAATGTGATTTTTGTATAATTCCATGTGTTTATGAAAGTAGTTGTTTCGGGAGGGCTTTTTCTGTCAGTTTGTATTTGAATATAACTTATATGCAAGCTCTACACATATTTGGAAAGACTTAGTTTTGAGCTCAATTGTTTTTTCCTCCCTTTGGAAGTTTTCCAAAGTAAGAGCCAAAAGGCTTTTCAGATACGTTTGTTTTTCTTCTGTACTGGAATATATTTGTCATATTGATTTGATCCGTTGAAGAATGTAATTTTGATGAACGTATATCTGAAGGAAATTTCTCTAAATCTTGTTTTTCCCTGAAAAAATATTTGATATACATGAGTTTTATGTAAAATGCACTTATTTATCCGTCAGAGCTTCAGCAACTCAATATGTGCTAACTGTTAATTTCACCCCTCTGAGAATGAGGACACCCTATTGTCTCTCTCTCCATCTCTTTGTCTTGTTTCCTCTCTCCTTCTCTCTCTTTTAAGAGTTAGGGTAATTAAAAAGCAATAGAACGAATTTAATTCAATATCGAATCGTGAAGTTTGAAGTAAATTCTTGGCCATTGTTGGAATTTACGACGGTTTCCGCCGTTATTATCTCTCATTAAAAAGTTTCCGACTTTATTGAGGTATTGTTACTGACAACTTTAATTTAGAGCGTCTGAAACTACGATCTTTGTAGCTTGCGAAATAACAAAAGAGATTTGAAAATGTTGAAGATGAGAAACTTAGTTTCTTATAAAATGAACGTAGTCCATCCGTGAGAGAACAAGTCTCTTTTTCGGCCTGAATTTGAATGGAGTTTGACTGACATTCTTTTCTATATAGTTTTATGTTTTCTTTATTTTGTATTCATGTTATATTATTATCATTTATTCAAGTGGCCGTAGATGTGTATCTCTTGAATACTTCTACAATCAACGCTGGTGTTCCCCAGGGACCCATATTATCTCCAACACGCTTTTTATTGTATATCAACGATTAACTGCTAACGATAGCACACTTGTCTCATCATTCCATCTGAATTCCAGGACACCGGCTGCAGATGCATATTTTCACCGGCAGCAGGAGGTTGCACATCTTATTGAAGATCTAGAAGTGATTTCGAATGAAAGTGATTGTAACCTAACATGGGAGGATCTAATACAAATAGTATGTAAAAAAATCAACAAAAGCTTTCATATTTTGGCAACACTAAGAAATATTTTGAACACAGATTCATTATTACAGNGTGTAATAATAATCGTCTATAACTGAACGTATCCGAATGTAAAATAATTTCATTCACAACAAAAAAGCGATTATTCAATCAACAATACTACAATCAACCGAGTACATGAGATAAAAGTTATTGGTATAACATACAGTAAATTAACATTTACAACACATACAAGGATTATGACTGCTGATGCAAATAGGATGCTTGGATTCATTAACAGAAATGGCAAAAACTTAAAATTGCTATACTTTGCGTATGCCAGATCTAAGAATATGGCTCTGTGTTATGGAATCCAGTTTACTACTACCAAATACCAATTGAGAACGTGCAAAGGAAGTTCCTGAAATAGATATGTCTAAAAGTTGATGGTCAATACCCCACGAGAGGCATCGATCAATACATTTTGTTGACACGATTTGATGTGTGGAAAATAAAAGAGTTATCCTTGGTTTAACAACAACATTGACATTACGGTTCTATTATCCGAGATCAATTTCATAGTAACAAGGAGTGAAGGTCGACACAATCTGCGAAGCATCACGTACAAATATTATGCTACGATCACCATTGAATTTGATGTGCAGTAGCTTCAATATAATCTGTGAACATTGCGATAGTCATTTCGACTCTCTGAACGCCTTGGTATCATGTATCCACAATCACTTTTGATAATACTATAAATAACATATGTGTCAGTACTGCTATATTGCATGACTTGTAACGTTTTTTGTTATATACTCAATTTCCCACTCCTCTATTGAAATTATTCGTATACGAATATTTTATATCTACTTATAACATTTACTTTCATACATTTCTATATTCCATTATTTTCAATATTCATTTCATAAATACTCTGTAATAATAGCATTTCCTGTAACTGGATACTCCTGTTGGAGTACCCAGTTACAAAAAGGTCTTTAATAAAACATATTTGAGCAATGCCCCTAGATAGAACCTTTGAGGTATAACAGTTCAATATAACAGCTAAACCTGGTTTCACAAATATTCATATACATTTTCCTGAACCTAAGGTAGGATTTATTTTTATTTTTCACAAGTTTTCACTAATCATTTGTATAAACTACTCTTTCTAGGTTACCTACTTGCTGTTGTTCTATGTTGTTTACTTGCTGTGCGTTACCTTTATCTCAGATATTATTTTGTCTTCTGTATTAAATACAATCCAGAACAAGTAGTTGAATTGTGAACCCTCTTGTTACGAATTTTCCATTATTCAAATAGAATTATGTAGGAATACTCTGTAATATTGATCTTTTTCTGGTCAAACAGATAGAAAGGTATTGTGATCGTAGATGATAATTTGAAAAAATAAATAAAATGAAAGATGATTCATTCAAAATATTTTCAAGGTCTGCGGCTTATTTTGCGTTAATTACATCCATCCAGATCATTGAATAGGTTTGGGATGTCATTTCAAATACTGGCAACCCTCAGACAGAATTATATTTTTTCTAGTCGCCAAACAGTTACGAATACAACACTATTGTATGAAAATAGGTTTCAATGTTCATGAATATTACCTACTCAACACCCTGTATTGATCCACCTTCATATGTTCAATCTTTATTTATCTGAAAATGTCACCTGTTCGTTAAAAATGTTTCTGTTATGTTTCATTACAGTTCCATATCGTTTATAGACCTTTTGTAAAAAGTTTTCCCTTCCACGATCTAAAAAATAAAAATTTCAATGGTGAATTTACGATAAAAGTTCTCCATTATAATCTTTATCAATTCAGATTGTAAAAGACGAAGATCCCTCCAGAAAGAAAAGAAAAACTTTGATTTCCACCACAAAAAATGACTTCTGTTCAATATATTTTCATTATATGTTCACATTTTTTTCAAGAATGAACATTGAAATCGTCATTACTGTTGGAATGGAATTCGTCAAAAAAACGCTCGAAGAATTCCAAAACCATTTCGAAATCATACACATTGAATGGAAGTTACAGATATTCAGATCATTAGGAGTGCATCAAAGCATCCTTGTAAGGGANAAAAAAAGGCTCGAAGAATTCCAAAACCATTTCGAAATCATACACATTGAATGGAAGTTACAGATATTCAGATCATTAGGAGTGCATCAAAGCATCCTTGTAAGGGAATAGTACACTTATACAAGCAACAAGAATTACATCGTTTCAGAGATGTTCGTATTTCGTTTGAATGAATTGCATTCCAATCCAATAGCTTTCGAGTGCTTTTGGTCTAGTGCAATGAAGAGAAAAATAACTGAAACGTGATTTGAGGAAAACATTGAATGGAAGATGATGGTCTATTATTTCACAAACTACACCTAAACGATTTGATCTCCAC